TGCTAGCGATGTTTGGGGGGGGGGGGGGGGGTTCTTGTCACATGGGGATGTTGAACATGTTCAGAAAAGTACAGGCAAATGCCTGGCGACCGTTTGTCGAACATTTGTGACCTTGAAAGAATCTTGATGAGAACGCAGCATCGGCTGCCTTTATAAGACCTCGCAATTGTTCGCCGCCGGGATCAGGACTTTGGAATGCAATTCATCAGTGGGCACCACCAAGGTGTCCAGACAAAGAGCATAAAAGCGTAACTTACCACACTTGGGATGAGTCACGTCTTAAAGTTAAAGAAGCCACGAGATATATTTTTTATTTCACTTCAATAATGATTATTGCAATCTTGAAGGCATTAATTGCACTAATAACAATTTATATTTGATGCCAACCAAACTCATAATATTTATGGCACCAGATTCTCCTTCACAGCTTGGAATCTGTCTGCTCACAGCATGCCAATCTGCCATGCACTTTTCCCACTGTACCCCACATATGATGCCCAATTTTCAGCCTTAAAATAATTTGCCATTTAGCCATACCATAACATGGTAACATGGTTTGTTCATCTTAGCTGTGACACTCAAAGTCCAGCAAGATATCTATAAAGCTGGACTACGTACATTAACTCGCATGGATGTAGATTTTTTTTTTTTTAAATGGATGTTTTAGTTTGCAGGGTATGCAGTTAATTGCTTTCGTAGGTGAAGGTCAGTGCAGGTGGAGTTAGTCATGCATGGGTCGTCCTTCGTGGGGCAATGAGCAGGTCTCAGCAAATGAGTGTAACAGAGGTGGAGAGGGCAGATCAAATTGCACTCCGTGAGAAAGAATACTCCCTCAGGTCATAAATCAGAGATGGGGCAGAATTACGCGCCTCTCTGGAGCTCAGCATGCCTGTTTACACTGACGTAAGTGGCACTCAATATAATACCACGAATAACCGGCCAGTCAGTTCACTCACAGACAAACTGCACATTTTCCCCAAAGTAATGTGTACCAGTACACCCCATTTATGAAGCATGCTCTAAATTGGGTCAATTCTTGTGTAAAAATTGCAATCAGAGTAACCTGAATTGAGAATTACTTTTTTTTTGGTCTAAAACTTTTGTTTTCTTTTTATTATTGACAGCCTATATACATGTAGTTACTCTCCTGCTGCAATTAGGGCAAACTGATCATTTCACACATTAAAATGCCTTTGAAAGCTGGGCAATTTGGAAGTTTCTGAGTTTTATTGTAGCTCACGGAAGTAATAAATTATGCCCACACAAATCTAGGACTGAGAATAAATATCAACAGAAGGGTTCTGTTTAAGATCAGTGTGAAAGGACAACCAACCCAGGAAAACAAAATGTGTGCCATAAATTTGAACACAATTTCCTTGGGCCGACCTACCAAATGAGCAGACTCCCAAAAAACACAAGCAAGTGTCAATAATTCATGGGGCCTGTGCAAGCATTAGTCAGCAGCGTAGAGACAGATCCCAATAACTTTGTAGGCCTGTTAACTGCCCTCCTGTTGTTAGGTCGTGTTAAAACAAACACACGGTCCAAGTTGCTTGAAAATAGATCGGTCTTAAATAGAAAAGGACCTTTTCATTACCATGTAGTAAAATTTTAAATATAAAGTTAATTGCAAAAAAAAAATCGATGGTAGTAATAAGGGAAAGAAAACAAATGGATGACTTCGAAGCCACTTAGTGTTCATTTGTGCGTCTTACTACGTGTGCGCTCGTGCTTATGGGAGTTCCTGTGCGTAAGAAGCTTACAGGCACCCATTTAAACAAACATTCAATGCCAGTCAATAGAACTGTGTGCTCAACTTGTTTCCGGACTGTTGAGATCACACTTATTTGTACAGTAACAACAACAACAGCTTGGGCCAGACATTACATCGAGTAAATGTGGACCAAAATGAGAAGGTTCCTGATTTGAAGACAAAATTAATAATGATTTAATTCACTTATAATTGTGGTGTTTGATCGCTTTCCAGGCTCGATTAACATCTTTGATTGTTCAGGTGATTCCAACCACACTGACCAACAAACTGTGACCCATCCAAGCCCTATCTGGTCTCGACAGGAAATAAAGACTCTTGTGAAATCCAACTTGGGCTAATCCAAAGGGACATGGACATCCAGGGGAATCAAAACAATGCTTAACCATTTTCTACAACACAAATTGCAGGCTTGCATTTCTAACTTCGCAAGATGCAAGACCACAATTGATTTTCTCTGGTCAAATGTCTTACAGTGGTGATCAGTATTTCTCATTCAATTAAAAATTATATTGCTGTGATACACGTCTTCACTGTTATGATAGCACAGCTTTATATCAATTTAACACGTTCCATTACACTCACTGGTAGTCCATTTAATTGTGCCCTTGCGAAAGTTACTGTAAAAAAAATTGATGTGTGAGGTGCATCAAAGACGTGATTACATCCTACACACTTGCTATTAAAGTTAAGTCTTTTACTGTTGAATAAATGCATAAAAGTAAAATGGTCACCTTATTTGTCGTCTTGCATCACCATTAATAATATGAAAATGTTTTTTCCAAACATGGCCAGTACAGTTGATATAATTTTTATCATAGACAGTTTGACTCTCCAATCACTCTTTTACAGTTAAAGGAAAATGTTTGATTTCAGGGATTGCCACAAAAAGCTGTGCAACGACATATGAAGTCAAGGGTGCCATCACCATTTTTTCCAAGTATTGAACCACAATTCAAAAGAAATGTCTAATTTCATTTGTTAATTTTCACTAAATTTATAGTTTCAAGTTAATGCTGTGACAATTGCGGGATTTTAACAAGAGGGTTCCCAACAATTTTATCCATGTATATAGGTGATGTAAGTTGTACCGTAATTAAAGCGATGACACTACGGCAATCTAGACTGAGTTATCATGATTTGAAGTCTGAAGGACTTTGGGCCTGTAGACGTAGTGGGCCTGAGAGGACTCTTATCCACAACCTTCCCATCTGCACTATCAAGTTATCCCAGTGGGGTTTTGACTGATAACTCAGCCTCATGATAACAATAGCCCAGGTCCCGACTACGCCGGGCCATCTAAAAGCCGTTAGCTACCTCATTACTCCACTGGCTACTGGCCTACATAAAGCACAGTGGCACCTTAGCAGGCACCAGTTATCATTACTGCCTTATGACCACCAATGAAATTATCCCAGGCTACCGTCTACAGGAGCCAGACCATCACATTGGCATGTCGGGAGGAGAGAGCAGTCATTCCCCCAGAAAAGGAAAATAAAAACCCTATTCAAACATACTTCACAAATATCCAGTGAAAATATTCTTATTCTTCATACAGTATTTAACAAGTATTTTGATGACTGTGTAGAACAGCGACTTCTGGCAAGGTTCCATCTCTTAACTGTATTGCCGTTACGCACCCTCTACTCCCACTAAATGGGATCAAATTTAAATTTGAAATGAATCTAATTTATGCATCATGTGAGAATAATAAGAGGGTGAGTAGTTGTATATCCAGGCATGATTAGTCATAACTAACAGTGAAAAGCTGTATCGACTGTACTGTGTATGGAGCAAAATATTTCAATATTTTCTGCTTTACCTGGTTCCTCCAAAGAGGATGATTCGATCCCCAACCATGCAGCAGCACTGTCGTCTTCGAGGACATGGGCCTTTCCCCTTGGGTTCTACTTTCGTCCATGAAAAGGCTTCTGTACAGATTTAATGTAACAAACAGAACACACTGATGAAGATGTTAATTATTTGGGAATACAACATGTACAATACGGTATTGACACATTACACATACAAACCTGTAGACTGAGCTTCACTGCTTTCTGCACTAGATTAATCATGAAGAGTTGACTTTCTTTGATGCAACTTTCAAAATTTACTTCGATGTACAGGTGCACCGATTAATCATCAACTAATGGATTATCAAATTAAACAATAGTTCATTTGATAATCAAATGAACATTTAGATGTGTTAATTTAAAAAGTGTCCAAATTCTCTGAATTTTAGCCTCTCAGCGGTAAATATCAGATTTCTGAAGTCTTCCGTGGAACCAGACTGCAACCAGCTTACATTTGTGTTTTTTCAAACCAAGACATTTTACTTTGGAAAACAACGACCTCCAGATTCATCCAGATTCATCAATTAACAATCGACAGATGAGTCTATTATTGAACTATTCATTACTTGTCCTACTTAGGTGTCCAAAGATAAAAATAAATAAAGAAATACAAATATCACCAGGCGTATCCACAAGTCAGCCCTTTGAATTGCAAAATTCTATACAAAAGTGAGAGGGGTGTTTAGAATTCATTCGAAAACGGTTCCCTTTGACTTAGAGGATAGTTATAGTGAAGAGGCATTATGAATAAATCAAAATATGTCCATAAATACATTCTTAAGTTTGTTTGAAGTGTCTTTTTTATTGAATATTTTAACATATTTAATATATTACCCCCTACACTGCCCGCAAACATTTCACCATCCTGGTACATAGGGATGAAATAATTCCCGCGGGAGACCGTGCTTTGGGAGATAGACCATACACACATGCTCAGCAAAACATCCGATTAGTTTACTGCATTAAGTATCTTAACATGCAGACTTTTAACACAACTTGACATCGAAATAAAATAAAACAAGAACATAGGCCCTCGCCTTAATAGCACCACACTCTGCCCCATGTTTCCGGTGCTTGGTTGTGTCTGTGTTGTGCAATATTTTCTCCACTTTATAATGAGTGTCTTCACTGTGTTACATGGTATATTTAATGCAAGGTAAATTCTTTGGCACCCTTCTCCTGAGTGATACTTCTGAACAATGAGCTGACCCCGATGCTGTGGAAGCTCTCTGCGGACCATGACTTGTGCAATAAGATGTGACTATAAAAATGTCAGGAAAAGCCCACTACAGCAGCCCTACTTTATTTGGGATTATTGAGAGACACTTTAAAGGGTTCCAGGTATCTGTAACATCTGTTTAAAGGTGGTCGACTTATTCTGAATACAGTCACATCCATAGACATAAGAGGGTGAGCATACTTGTAAAACCACATGAGCCTCAGTTATGTGCATTTCCCCTTTCTAGACGTTTTCTGTTTGTTTTTGTTTTCTCCAAATGAGTTGTAGATGTGATAGTTTACATTGGCGGTGGAAAAGGCTTTGAAATTATTTAGCTTGGTCTCATTTTTCATATCACAGCCACCTGGCATTTGAACAGGGGTGTGAAGTCTTAATATGCACTGTAAGGTTGCGCATGTCAAACAAGTGCAGTGAACGGTATCATGGTATCGCTATGGTAACAGGCCATTAAGACCTGTTGAGAGAATTGGGATTGGAACTCAGATGCTGCCATCTAGCGGCTATGACTGCCAAAGCAGACTTGTAATTCAGCCGAGAAAGGCCTTATGGTTAGCGGTTTTATTCAAACTGTACATCCCGACCGCCAGTGTATGTAGTACAGCACATCGAATGTGACCTTTTGTGCATTGCACAGCTACGAGCAATGAAATTGTTGGTTTAATATGAAGGAGAGGCTTGAAGAAATAGGAAAGTTGGTTAATACGATCTTAAAGGCTCAAATCAAGCATTTTCTTTACAGCAATAAGTTATATGCACCCCCACTAGCCCAGCATGGTATTCAAATTAGTATTGCATTTGTGGAATATGAATTAAACATCAACATGTACTTGTTTTTATCCATCCCAGGGTGAAGATAACTGATGTCATTTTCAGTCAATAAAGTGACGAAATGGCTGCCCCCTGAGATGGGTGGATTTTGCTGCTTGATTCATTTTCCACACATGCAATATTAATCAGAATATTGTATTTAGAATACCAGAGGTGCATAGAGCATAATATTGAAGAGAACATTTTTGACTTGACACTTTAAAGTGACACTGTTGAACACCATGACTGAAAATGGGTCACAATTATATAGAACTACAGGAAATGCAAACATGACCCCAAGTGAAAAAAAGCAACAGAGATACGAAAAAGCATCACCTGGAGTGAATTTCCAGAGATCATTGAAGTGCTGGTCCAAATCGGCGTTGTAGCCTCCAAATATGTACAGCTCCCCCTTGTAGCAAACTACACGTTCACGGAGACAAGAGAGAGACATTTACATTAATAACATAAGACCCTGCCGAGATAAACTTCTAGAATTGTAGCTAAACAGCAGTGCAGTGCTCGGCAAGTTGAAAGAGTTCCTTACAAGCTGAGTGACTCCTGCGTCCATCGGGTAAGAGCTGTGTTGTTGGAGAGCTCAACCAGGTATTGGTCTGTGTATCAAACACTTCTATTTTGTTGCAGTAGATCTCATTGTTGGAGTGGAATGGACCAAAGTGGTCCCCTCGTCCTCCAAATACAAACATTTTTGTCCCGATGATGGTTGCTGAGTGGAAGTCCCGCCAGCTTGCTGGAATGCCCTGAAGGGCAAAAAAATAAAAATAAAAATAGAGCGCATTTGTTGAAAATAAAAAAATCATTTAATAGGTCCAAATTTGATTTCATATCTTTCAACACCACATCACAGTTAATTGGCCTCGACACTGAGATGAAACTTGAAGGGAAATTGTGCCACCTAGTGGACATTATTAAAGGAAACCAAACCTGCATAACGAGACTTGGGGAAAAATATCTGACGGCGCGACTGTTGTGAACTACAAAAAGGTCGTGTAGCTTGAGAAGGCCATAACAGAGGTGCGCAAACATTGCACCTCATGAGCCAGAGGGTGGCGTCTGTGCCTTGCTTACGTGAATCTCAAAAGTAGTCAGGAAGAAGACTAGTATCACTCCAACATTTTTTTTTCTTTCTGCGGCAGGACTTGATCCATGAAACTCCTGATTTTCAATTACTGATCGAAAAATAGAAACTTTTTTTTAAGCTCACCATGACATCAATTAAAGACCAATGCATGGTAGTGGTGTCCAGCTTGTGGATGTCATTAGAGAAGCAGTCAGCCTAGAGCGCAGGAGAGGAAATTAATTAAATACTTTAATTTTCATGTGTGACAGTGTGGTTACCCAAAATTCATACTGAACTCAATTTGCCAACTTTCACAACAGATGTATTTCCATGACTGAAAAGGAAGCTGGTCAAAGACTTACCAGCTGCTCGTATCCTCCAAATATATACATTGCCTTGAACAGAACGCAGGCTGAGTGACCATCTCTTGCCCCTGGAACTGTCCCAGAAATTCTTGGTGTGAACCATCTGTGGGTATCTGCAGCGCAAGGAGAGCTTACATTAATTCCCACCACTATACATCAAACTGTTGGTAACAAGTCAGCAGATATTTAGTGAGCGTTTTACGCAAATAGTCATTTTGGCTGCCTGTACACAAACGGACCAAAATGGCATGTGTTAAATAGTTTGTCCGATTAAAGGGTAGCATACAAAACGTTTGTTTTAAAAACAGCACAACTCAACATTGACAAAGCACGCAAACTCCATCCATACATCCATTTTCTGTGATGCTTACCGGTCGGCGAGATGGACCCTACTCCTGCTGTTTTATTTTGATACAACATAATCAGTCTGCTTCCATGGAGGGCTACAGAAATCTGAGAATATTTACTGTTGAGAAGCTGAAATTCCGGGGATTTCGACAACGATCGATTTGACATCTGGTTCATTGTTGACCAATTGTTCCACCTCTAAATTATTTGCTTTTAACATTTGTCAAAGAAAACTTCCTGTGCCAAATAAATGAAAAGCATGTTGACAGCATTAACTCTTACAACCACAACCTTACCTAGTTTTAACCTCAGACTGTCAGAATGATGTGTCACATTTCAGACTGCCTCTTAGTTTTAATTTTAACCTTTTCCTCACAGTCAACATAGACCGACCGCAATTGAAAACTGTGGTATGAAATAAACTGGGGAATTTCTGAAGCGTTCAAATCAACCAATATACTACATCTCTCTTTCTCAGAGAGAGAGAGAGAGAGAGAGAGAGAGAACTGCTAAGATTTGTGATCATCATTATTACCCTTAAGGAAGTTACTTTCCCTATGGACAGTTCTCAGACGTATTGTGAGTGGTCTCTACTTACTGACATCGAACGCGTACAGCACATTGCAGGCCCCTTCAGTGTCATTGCGTCCCCCCCACAAGTAGATGGTCTCATCCAGTAGCACTGCCGTGTGACCATAACGCATGTATGGCACTTCTCGAGCACGCTCATGTCCAACGGGCCTCACCGGGGGCAAGTTCATCCAGCGCAGGGACACTATGGCATAAAATGGTTGAGAAATGAAGAATATCGTAACACAATGAGGGAGAGTTTAGACTTCCCTTGTGCTCCAAGATGATGAAGTTGATACATTTTATTAAAATGTGTTCTTTATGTTTGCACTGCTGTTTCATTCTTGTATAATATTTTACCAATTACTCATTTGCAGATGTCTACAACAGAAGGTGGAAACACGTTTTAAAAATCAATCACAAGGTAGAGCGGTGTGACAGCAGGCAATGCTGCAGAACAGACATCAAAGGGAAGAATTACAGAGCAAGCAACCTGATGAAATAATGAAACAATAGCTGAGATGCTCTCATTTCCATTTCAAATGAGATAACTGCATCTTCATGAAGGTTTGCTTGCACTGATCTTTTGGCACACACCAAACAAGAAGGCTCAAATTACTCAACCCACAGATGATACTGGACAAGTATTGTGGAAAGACTTCATTAATAGTCAAGCAATTTGGAATTCAAACCAAAACAGGCTTTCAAGAAAAAAAATGGAGGTCACAAAAGTCAGCATATCAGGCAAGACTTGAGTAAATCTTGCAAGACCTCACCAAACAACTGCTATTGTTAGCTGTCAGGTCTTCTTTTCTAAGTGCCCTTGGGTGCAATGAAAGGTGCTATGCAAATCAAATTTATTGTTATTATTCTAACTTATTTACACAATTGTTTAGCCATTAATAAGTTATGTATGCAAAATATTGCCTGTGCAGTTAAAAGAACATATCATATCAATTTATTATTTAGGGGAAAACTTTAGAAATCCCAACTGCATTTACACTTAGCACTTTAATTAAAGGGACAATAAAAAAAATGGAGAACATATGTAAATTTTCATCAAGCACATTCTTGAGTATGACTTTTAACTCTTCAGCGGGGCTTTTTTCGAATTGGCTTTAAAAGTCAAGAGAAGCTTCCGTATAGCAGCCACAGTAGACATTTCAAATACAATTTGACAACTTGGAAAAAAAAAATCAAAGTGCAACCCATGGAAACCCTGAGTGTATGGTTATCCATTCTAACTTACCAGTGTTGAAAACATGCACGTCAATCTGACGTAGCGTCTCATAGTCCTCCCCGGAGCAGTAGCCCCCAAAGGTGTACACCTTGTGCCCCACGGCCACAGCGGCATGATTGACTCTCCGTGGCCCTCCTTCAAGGTGGACAGACCAACGCAACATTCCACTTGGCTGCACCTCTGCAGAGTTGATCACTTCGCCTCCATTAGGCCAATTTCCACCATTTAACCTGTGAACACAATAAGAGGAGTTAAGAAAAAAAAAAAAAGACTCCTGACAACGGCGGTGATAACGAAAGAACTGGTCCCGGACTAGCTTAGCCTTGCTGACAAGAACGAGAACATAAAAACAGCAAGAAAAAATTTTGAAGTGGGCATCACGTCCTGCAGTGTGAACGCGACCCATCTGATCGCCACAACCAGGTGCCGGAATTAAACCTAAATGTGAATGTAATATTCTCACCCTTATCGCTGCGGACTGCTTTCAATTCCGCTGACAGCTTTGAAATCCGCGGCAAATTCCGCGATCGGGGATCACAAATTCAACTTTGAAGGTTGCCTTCCAAAGAAAGAAAATTGCCACAACTGATATACAGTAACTGGAATTTCACAAAATGTATGACAAGCCACAATGCTTCTGAAAAAAATGTTGCTTTTTGGTCACATCAGCTCTAATGTATGTTTACAGACACAAAACTGTAGCATACAAAGAAACTAACACAATACTGTAAACCATGGAGGCGGCCCGATGATGTTGGACTGGGTCTAGCATTGGGTGCCTTGGATCGGTGAAGGCTAAAATGAAATGTGAAGATCAACTGGAGCTGAGTATTATATGTAGTACCCCCTAAAAAAAAATCACAACTATTTTTTTCATATCCTCTGATCTAGAATACAGTATCATGATTTTTTTTCAAAATGTTTTTTAATTGCCAGTTTGAAAGCATCTGTACTATATTTGACAACTACTGTATATGCAAAAGATGAACACAGAAAACAGACATGAAAACATTTTTACTCAACAGAACAACAAATGAATTGATCAATAAAAAATAACACAATGAACTAGTTTACAGTCTTGTGTGTTTTAGCAGGTATGCAAGACCCAAAATAAACAATGTGCCCCTGCGGGAGTAATAAAAAACGCAGGAGAAAGTCAATTAATTGGCTATTGTAGCAAACATTTCCACCGGGTTGGACAAAGGGAATTCGCTTGCAGTGATTACCGTAATCATTCTGAAACTGATCACGGTCACGAATCTTGATCATATCATTGCCCAGTTCTACTGTCAAAAGAATAAAAGCAAAGCATCCTACCCAGTGTCAGAAAGCTTTGTCTCAGTCTCAGTTTGTGGGTTATTCAACAACAACCCAAAATACACAGCTAAAAACACCCACGTATAGCGAAGAACACAGAGGAACACATCAGACTATTCTGAAGTGACTTCCCATGAGCCCACATCTAAATCTTACTGAACGTCTGTGGAAGGTGCCGAAAGTTGCAGTCAGGAAAAGACACCCTTCAAATGTTTGCTCATGAGAAGTAGGCCAAAATACTTGTCGAATTGCAAGTCTCTGTGAGTTACAGAACCCGTTTGATCGCAGTGTTTGGCTAAAAAGGTTTGCAGTGTTTGTCTGAAAACCAAAATATTAAGATGAGGGTAAAATCATTTTTGTCCAGACCAGTTTCATTTGTGTGTTTTTGACCCATTATTCACAATTTAGAACAGTTACCATGATCCTCAACAGGTCTCTAACAGTCTTTGGTGTCAAGACACAAACGACAAAGGATTGCATCACCCCTAACTGGTAAGGCCACCCTGGGTGAATGGCTTTGGGGTGGAGTTCGATCTCATGCAAATGAGACACGGCACATTCCACCTGCCTGTACGATTCCTTGGTCAGAATGCCATTGGGAGGCAGAGCTAGAGAGTGACAACTAAATGTTCTCTACAGCTCGGAGTCTAAAGAGAAAAGTGTGCATAAACCTCGCATCAAGATTTTCACTTGTGGTGGAAGCACTTCATCATCAAGCGGTCAAATCACACAGCTGATGTGTCAATTCATGTGTGTGTTACATGGATTGGTAAACACAAATACCAAAACCCACAAGCAACACCTTGACAGCATCACCAAATATTTGAGTATGTGCCAGTTATTAGAAGTTGATGCTGATCCTGCTCTTGAGCTACTAGTAATATGTGCTAACACGACATTTTGCTTATTATACAAGAAAGCTTCTGTGTAGTTTGGTGGCTGGACTCTGACCATCTCTTGACAATGGCAGACAAAGGTCAAATCAAACTTCTTCCACCTAGTGGAAAATGGGAAAGTCAACCCCCTCCAAAATTTGTTACAATAAATTGTATGCAACCCTATTAGTTTAAACACTGCATTCTGATTGATTCTGATCTGTTCAGACTAGTGAAAGCACATCGAACATATTACTGTAAAGAAAATTTGGGGGTTGACTTCCCCTTTAAAATTGCATTATCCATATACTGGAATGGAGCGTATGATTTTTTTTTTTTTAAGTGGCTGCCTTGATTGCCTGTACTTACATGCATTTTGGCGACAGAGACTACAGGCTTCACTATTTCATCCACATGTCGGCCTGTTTTAGCAGGGCAACCAAAACTTAGCATGTGCGCCACCACCCAAAAAAGCTTACTGTGGGACCCTGCCCTAGGTTCAAAGCAATTCCGTTCTACCGCACTGTAAACAACAACCACCCAAAATTTGAAATTGAAACTTAAGGCCAAAAACAAACAGAAATTGAATTTATCAAATTAATATTGACTTCTAACTAATCCAAGGAGGAACCATCCATTCAGCCATCCTTTCACTACCACTTAGGTCACAAATATGTTGGAGCCTATCTCAGCTGACCAGAGACAGCATACACCCTGGACTGGTCGACATTTGCAAGGCACAAACAGAGATTCCCACTCACACTTATGGACAATTTGGAGTTGAACAACAAGGACAGTCTTGGAATGTTGGAGGCAACTGCAGTACCAGGAGAAAACCCACACAAGCAGAACATGCAAACGCTACACAGGATGGCCGTAGCCTGGATTCGAACCCCCTCCCTCAGAACTGTAAGGCATTCCGCTCCAAGGGGAGACCCAGTTACAGCAAAACAGTTTGCAGCCCCCACTCTCCCCATTCTGTTCAATGACCCACTTTCTTGTTGACCTCCAACCTTTGTTTGCACTTAAAAATACATCCCCAAGCGACCTCATCTATTTTGAGGGGGAGCACCAGATCTTGGCGACGATTCCTTTATTTCATCACACATACTGTTTATGTGGGCTGTGTACAATATACATCCACCTTTGCACAAAGTAGAAGCAAGTCAAGGCAATGTCGGGTTTGCACAACAACATGTGTAAACTATACGTGTCGTCACCTTCAGTATGCTTATGTACAACGACCTCTTGAGAGGCGGTGAAAAAGATTCACATACCAAGCTGTCATAGGAGATCATGTGTCCGATTTAGGAACATGAACATTATTAGCTAATTAGACTCATTGGAACAGAGCAAAAAGCAACAACACCTTCCCACAGCCTCGTCCTGCACCTAGTTAGCATTAACAGTACATTTTCACTGCCGTGTCTGTGAAAGACAGTTAGGTGGTCACAAACAACTTAGACGAGGTTATCGTTATCTTGTTCCACATTCGTGCGATAGTGTGGGACTCTTGCCGACTAGGCTAGGCTAAAGCTAAACTACGCTACCATAGTGAGCGCATGGCCCTAAACCGACCATAAAATGACACGATTTACAACAGCGACATTTATTTGCATATGAGGCAAGGCTGGTCAGTGGACACCGCAACAACCATTGTGTTCACAGTGTTAATAAGTATCGTATAGCTTACCTTGGAGCAGAGTCGTAGGCGGTCTCTGATGTTTTTGGACGCAGGCAGGCAGACAGGGACGTTGTGACGTGTCGGTAGGTGAGGGAGCGCGCCCCCTAGCGCCTGAGTCACGACAAATCTGTCACGCGCATCTCATAGGAGTCATGTGACAGACACTGCAAGAAACTGCCTACTTACTGTTCCGGTTTTACAGTTCAGTATTCTGGTCCAGCCAGGCACTGCCACTGAGAATGTTAATTGTTCAGAGTCAACGTGCATTGCCGGACAAACTTGATCACTTTTTCAGAAGAGGAAACAGGCCGTCTACTGCTTGCCGGTGTGGATAACGTCGCCAGGCCTCATGTTTGTTTGCAATGTGGATATGTCCAAGTCATGTATCAGGGGTTTTCAAACTTATGTCATCAGGGGTCCCCCTACAGGGAAGATTTTTATTCCTAATTAAACATGACCACTATGTATAGACCACTTGCAGGTTGCGCAGTGCATGTAATTTAATTACTTTTGGATTACCTCAATACCAGATGGTAGAAGGATAAAAAATGAAATACATATATTTATAGGGCGGCCCGGTGATCGAGTGGCTAGCGCGTCGACCTCACAGTGCTGAGGTTGTGGGTTCGATCGTTTGCATGCTCTCCCCGTGCCTGTGTGGGTTTTCCTCAGGTCCTCCGGTTTCCTCCCACATTCCAAAAACATGCATGACAGGCTGATTGAACACTCAAAATTGTCCCTAGGTGTTAGTGTGCACGGATGGTTGTTCGTCAATGTGTGCCCTGCCGACTGCCCGAAGACAGCTGGGATAGGCTCCAGCACCCGCCGCGACCCTTGTGAGTATAAAGCGGATCAGAAATATATTTATATACATTATATTTGTCAGAGGGCGGCACGGTGTCGACTGATTAGCACGTCTGCCTCACTTTGCATATGGGTAGGGTTCAATTCCAGCTCTGGCCTTCCTTTGTGGGGTTTGTATGTTTTCCTTGTGCCTGTGTGGGCTTTCTCTGAGTACCCCGGTTTTCTCCCACGTTCCAAAAACATGCATGGCAGTTTAATGGAACACTCAAAATTGTCCCTAGGTGTGATTGTGAGCGTGAATGGTTGTTCGTCTATGTGTGCCTTGCGGTTGGCTGCCGGAAGACAGCTGGGATAGGCTCCAGCACGTCCACAACCCTTGAGAACAGAGATGGGCATTCATAATTGCACCATATAATTTTATTCATCATTGCACCATATAATTGCTGATGCAAATGAAGGTGCTCAAATTCTTATATAATAGGGGAGCGTCGACTCAGAACAGATTCCAAAATAGCCATGCACAAAAAAATCAGGAAAACTGAAATGGTGAAAAACCTTTTCATATGTCACCACAAATGAGTTGTACACATTTCTCAGTCTTTGCACATCTTTTCAGAAATTATCTTCAAACATTTACTGTATAATGCATTTATTTACTATTTATGAATTCACTTTACAGGGTCTTTAATACAAAGATGAAGCACTTGAATAAATTGTAATTCTAAAAAAAAAAGCTTGTATTTGGATAGTGAAATAATTATGAAAAAGTGACAAAAAGTGTTGGGGAGAAGAAGCGGTCTCTCATTGCCATCAACAGAGGGCGCCCACCAATTCATCCTTGCTCCTAGGTTTTGCAGAAGAGCAACGCTTCAACTGTTACCGAGTAGATGTAACATAACACCTCATCTAGTTTTGGGCAAATAACATGAGCAGAAGCTCCAGTTGGCTCGCATACACTTTTGAGCATTCCAATTTAACTATTCATTTTAAAAAAGAAATAAATAAAAAATCCCTGGAATAAAAATTATGCCAGTCATAAGTCATGAAGCTGTTAGGAATAGAGTACAGTTCATTCTAGACTTTACAACCATTTGATAACCTCAAAGAAGGTTTATATTAGATGTGCTGCATTTATTCCCCTCTGTGTGGTAGCTTCAGCTCTCAATGTGTAGCATTACATCATACATTTTCCTTTCTCTAATGGCTACGGTAATTAAATGAACAACTGACTTTATTAGGTTTAGTATTCATGTCTGCCTTTTCTTTTTTTTTGCTTGTGGTTTAAGGAATTCATCACAATTAACACCTAGGAAACAGTTTTATTGACCATTAACATGGTTTTATGCATTAAAACATTAAAATCACCTGAAAACCTGAAACATACATGACACACCCTACATTCAGGATGATTCGCGCTTTAATTTTACAAAGCATGACATTGCCAAGGGGTTGGGTTGGTTGAAGATCAACCTGGTTTCAAATGCAGGGAAGTAGAGACTTGTCCAAGGAGTGTGGCACTGAGAAAACATATTACAGCTGCCATGGGACTGCCTGCATCACTACTCAGTTTGATCCTCTGTCGCAGCGCTTTGATTGATACGTTGTGTGCAGGCATTTTTTCCCAATGCCAGCTGCATGTCATGGACAATAGCCAGACTGCAAAGCCACGGCTGCCAAAAGCTGCTCCTTTAAAATCTTTATAGGTGATTATATATAAAGGATGGACACGAGCGAAAAAGCTGGAGACCCGCAAAGATCTTAGGTGGATGAGAGTGGGTCTGCATAAATAAAGAGGCTTCTCAAGCGTGACGGCTAAAATACACACAAAGAAGCTTATGCAAACCGTGATCACTCAAACTTTCCAAAACCTGTCCACACAGCAGAACTTTTCACACTGTTGATATTACACAATTGCAGTTAGATGATGTTATTGTCTGGAAGATGTCCCAAAAATTTGGGGATGTGGCAAGTACAACAATCTCGTCTGGGTCAATTGCTTTGCGTTTGAGCTGTTACATGTAAGCCTCATTTATCTTCATGGTACGGAAAATGATACTGAGGCGTTCACACGCTGTTATCGTTAACATGCATCTTAAGTGTGTTAAGAAACTAGGAAGGGTCATGGAGACCCACAATGTATTCCTGCAGACATTGTAACCTCAATTTAGAGTGTTTCTCTTTGTTGTATTTTTGAATGGCTGTATTTGTTTTCTTCTCATGCATCCTTGCTTCGAAAGGGACAAATCCTTTTTTCCAATTACATATGCATGTACAACAGCAAATTTTAGTCAGAGATGCCTTGATGTGTCCCTAAATGTATTTTTGACAATGAGTTTAAAAATGCCTCTACTTATTTCCTAGCACATCAGGATTTTGAGATAATTATTGTTTTGTGTGTTTAAGTTTGAATTGCAAAATACAGATTTGACCATGTGTTCGAAGCTACGACATTGTGGTGTAGAAAATGGATGCTGGCTTTTTTTTATTGATAAAATGTCACACTTCTTCTATTGTACTATCCCCAAAAAAGACAACGTCAAGAATGTCTCAGTGAGTTCTTCTTGAGGTACTCAGCGAATGTTTTGTTTCGAAACAGTGTGTGGTGCTTCCTTTTTTAAAAGGCTACCCTGATCGTCACACCTGTCAGCGTTTGCACACATTGCGTCATCCATCTGATCCCGCAGTGTCCACATTTGCTTAGTGGTGTGTTTCACAGCTTTAATAGCCAGCACATGTGGTGTCTGTCTGTTGTTGGGACTGACACGGAGAACAGGAGTTGTCCAACTGCAGAATGACTCTGCGTTAACAACAACTGCTACAAACCAACTGCTGTTAGGTATTTTGTGGGCAGGAATAGCGATGGAAGAGCTTTGCAATGTTTGTCTGCCGTGAAATCTATAGCACGTAGCCTTTTTCCTTATCGCTTCACATCAAAACCGCCCATCTGTTGAGATGACAAGCAGCACAACCACCATTGTACTAAATAAACTACTAAGTGAAAGGAGAAGTGTGTGTTGGTATTCTGTTGAAATATCAAGTATCAAGTATCAAGTATCAAGTACAACTTTATTGTCAAATGTGCTGTATGTGCAACATACAGCACAGATGAAATTTCTTCCCTCACAAGACAACATACAACAAGGGGAGCCGCTGCGGGTGCCCGCGCCGCCATCAAACTGTACGCACAGTAGAATTGCTGGAATGAGGCACACTCTTGGATTTGATTGATCTCCAAATTCTGCATTATTATTGACCCTCTCCTGAAATGACTCTCCAACATGCAGGCTTGCCATTGCATAACCTCAAAATAAAGTAAGCAGTCCTGCCGTGGAACACAGTCAGGCTTGTATCAGTCAAGGCCACGATCTGTTTATACGATCACACTAAAGGACAAGGAGCTGCAGAATGTGAATGTGCAGACATATTCCCAGGATGTTAAATACTCTGATTTGACTTCCGCAATAGCTGGATAAAGTCAACAGCTACATGCAGTCCAGCATGATGTCATAGAACATGATCTAATTCTGCGGCCAGATGATTGAATCATGCATTTTCCTTTAATTCGTTGCTTATTTAATGAACAGAGCTCTTTGTGAGTTTCTTAAGATGAAGATTGGTATGCACATGTGCTCATTTTCTTGCTTGTGGTTCACTGAAATAGCGCAGCATTAAGAGAAATTAGGACTTGTATAGCAGCTTTTATTGACCAATTACGTGTGAACCAACAAGCTATGCTTTGTAAGGAAAGTCTTTCAGCGGGGGTATGGATTGAATAAAAATTAGTAATTCCACATCTTGCTTATTGGGTATAAAAAGTTGGGATCAGACTGGGTGAAAGCTACCCAAATTCAATTTTAAAATATTACGCGGTATTTGGACTGAGACTGAAAGCTTAGTTTAGTGAAAACAAAAACTAATGGACCAAGACCAAGCTCCAGGCACTCGTCCCCAAAATGTCCCTGTCAGTGTATGAATACAGTATGTGTGACGTAACATTGTAAGGCATTCAAAAGCACCGCTGTGGTGAAAATAGACTTCATAAATGCAGTCCATTTACGATGAACCATACAAATGCAGCTCTGTGGTTTGTCATCTTTGTAGTTTATTCCGAGTGCCTTTAATGCACATACTCGGGAGCAGTTGTTTATTGTATGCGGTGCGTTTGTGGCTTTGTGTGTCAATTGGCCTTGTGTGTCCATTTCAATGAACAAATGTGTCCAGGAAAGTGCTTCGAAGCTAAATTAAAGATAATGTATGCATTATCATTATGCTGCACTCGTTATGCTTTCTTTCAGGCCGTGACACCTTT